TTACTCATACTCAACTAATGCTTCATAGTGTGTAGTTATTATAAAGTATTACCCTTTTTGCTTTTTTTCTACACTGTCTTTTATACAATCTCTTATCCCCTCTGTCTTTGTGACCCCTTAACCTCCATTATCTCCCTTCTTTCTTTTCCTTTCCAGGGAGTGGTGGCTGCAGAGAAGACCAGAGGGGGTCAGCTCCTCGAGGAGCCAAAGATGTTGCCTTTCCGAGCGAACACCTTCAGCCTCCAGGTGTCCATCCAAGACGTTCCCCAGTTCCTGTGGAGCATCAAACCCTTTACCACATGTCAGGTAACCATGGCAGCAGTAACAACTGCAGCAAGACATTAAATGCAAACACAGATCTGATGCTAAAGTGCTATTTTTGCAAGAAAGGGGTTTTTGTGCTTGTTAGTTAGAGATTCTCTCTCTGTGTTGTGGGACGTATTCTACTGTAACGTTTATCTGGCACCGCTCTCTAATGAGGCACTCATGAAGAACAAAATGATACTAATTTTAACTTCCCAATGCACCAACCCTTTTCAGTAGAAACAGGCAGTATACTAGCTCTTATTTGAGCACAAATAGACCGCAGACTTCATACAGTGTTTGGCTGTAATGATTGTCCCCCATTGTTGTTACATAGGCTCCTACAGAGAAGACAAGTCAAGTCAAATCTGGCTTGATGGAAATGATTCTCTTCGGCTTATGACCTTCATCTGGTTTTGATTCGCTTTATATTTGTGTTTGTTTGCACCTTTTTGCGCTTGAAAGCTGTTCTTTTAGCATGCATCCTGCCGTCACCCACATTTCCCTCCTGAGGATCACAAGGACGGACGTGACTTGAGAGTAATGGCTTTGTGTTTGTTTTGCTTGCAGGAGCATTAAGATGCAAACAGTATTAGATTGAAGTCATTGAATGCACCGCGGCGGTCGGTGAATGCTGTTCTGTACCTTGTTGTTGCCATTGGCAGAGCAGCTGCGCTGTGTCCCCGCTGTAACGCTGTTGTTGCTTAAAGACCTGGATACAGGGTGAAAGCTCTGTTTCAAAGACACCCACCCTCTCTGCGGCCTTATTTATGAGGGACTTGGGATGGCAGGCAGGCACCGCGGACCTGCTTTGGCGAAGCAGGTGTAGAATAATAGCCGAGTGCCGCGCCATACATCAAGTCAGCTTTTAGTGCTAAAGAGAATCCGAGCTTTCCACGTCCATCACCCCTCGCCCTCACCCCCCTCCTCCTCCTCCGCTTCTTACGCCACCGCTCCCAGACTCCATTATCTGCTGCTGTGAGCTGCACTGGGCAGCCGAGATCAAAGCCACAAGGGGTTAAGTCATCACCAGGCACACCGGCAAGCCACTTTTAATGCCGCCGCCTTCACTAAGAATCATTTACAGGTCATTTTTGATATGGCAGAGACAGAGTCTTGCAGAGGTCAAGGACGTTCCCCCACAGATGTGCCCGTTTATTGGAAATTAATTATACATCAAAGGCAGTCTTTCTCCCTGTTGCCCGTATGACCACATATATCGCTAACACTACTTAGCCTGAAAGCTGCTTCTGCCATCAGAGTTACTGTACGAGGGAATCAGGCTGTATTTGTGAATGGGTTTCTTCTTCCTCATCAACAATAGTTATTTTCCATGCATAGCATTTATCAAGCCATGGAACCACTGAGACTTCAAAGCCAACTTTAATCTTGCCGTGTGTGCATGTGCCCGTGTAGGCGGCCGTGCATGTGCCCGTGTGGTCGCATGTGGAACAGGGAGCTGAGGTATCTCATTCACAGCACATGTAGAAGGTGCAATGTGTCATTCCTGGCTGCATGCGGAGGCAACATTTCACCTCTACTGCCGGGTCCATACAATCTACATTTACAATCATCGGTTGTAAAGAAAAAGAAAAAACGACTAACTAACAGGGCCACAAGGTGGTAAAGTCACTAGCACTGTCGCCTCACAGCAAGAGGGGCCCGGGTTCGATGGAAGCCCCTCGCATGTTCTCCCTGTGGCAGAGTGGTTCTCACCGGGTTCACCGTCTTCCTCCCACAGTCCAAAGAGATGCAGCTTAGGTTCACTGATGACTCTAAATTGCCCGTAGGTGTGATGTCAGCCCCCCCGCGACCCTAAATAGGAATAGGTTACAGATAATGGATAATGAATAATAGGTACTAACTAACAGCAGGACAATAATACGCAATATTTGTATGTTATGATTTCTTTTTTACGTTTGTTTAAGTTTGTTTATTGTCTTAAATCCAAAGGGCAGAAACGAGTAAAGAACAAATTGTATTTTCATTTCGTCCTCCCCATGAAGGGGCCCTGCACTGGTGTTTGCTCTGGCTGAATGCTAATTGCTACAGCTAGCCACCAACTGAAGGTCCGTCCCCCGGAGCCACCGCCCATCCTCCTCCTGGCCAAGTGGTGTCCTGGGTGGGGTGGATGAAACAAAAATATGAGTAGTTTTCTGCCACTTTGGATTCAAGCCAATAAACAAACTAACAAAGGTGCAAGTGGTATTACAAGACGGGAAGGCCCGTGGCTAGCTGGTTAGCATGCTCATATTAGTATCTCTGCAACACAGTTTCCGATGTCCCCTCTTTCTTCCTTCTGCCTCCTCAGGAGTTCTCCTTCCCTCAAGTGTGGTGCAGCAACCAGCAGCCCCTGCACTGTGCCTTCTCTCTGGAGAGATACAGCCCTGCCACCGCCCAGCTCTCCTGCAAAATCAGCGTGCGCCAGGTCAAAGGCCACGAGCAGATACTGCAGGTCTACACGGCAGTGGCCGAGGTGAGGCTCCGGAACTGCGGGAGAGAGGGGATTGGGGGGGGGGGAGGTTTGGCTTTCTCACTCAACCTTTATATAACCTTCCTGGAGCGTGTCCACTAACAAGCAGAGGCCAGCTCTCCTGAGCTTGCATTGTGTATTAATAGAGCAAGGAGGACACTCTTACTTTCTCTCCTTTTCTTCACAGATTTATGCTAAACACAGACAACAGAGATTCAGCTGTTCACCACGTTTTGCCGCACATATTTTTTTAACCTTTATTTGTCCAGGGAGCTCCACGCACATAGCCCGCATCGCATTCACATGCATTAACACCTGGGAGCCAACGCTCTCCCGTCAGCCGCTGAGCAGCTCCACTGGAGCAGCTAGGAGGTAGAAATCCTCACTCAAGAGCACCTTGACAGCAGTTGTTAAACCAGAAGAGAGTGTTACTCATTGATTTTACCCAACTGCTTTTTTCATAAGCAGTCGCAAACATGCTTGTCACACCTCAAGGCCACCAAAACTCACGGATACTGCAGTCAGACGCAGGTGAAATATGATTTGTAATTACTTTTTTTTACGTTTTTTTAATCCGACCCTCATGATTAGTTTGGGTTTGACGGATAGGAGGAAGAAATAAAAGTGTTTATAGGAGCTGTGAGTAGAATACAAATCATCACCCACACACACACACAAACAGTAAACACACGTGACTGTTTTGACGAGGGGCCACACTGTTCTACATTGTGGGTCGCCAAGTTGGATCAATAACATCCTCATGCAGAGCACCAACACAGCGGTTTTAGAGGTGCTCCACATCAACACGAGCCATTAAGTTTCTATCACAGCACACATTTTAGCCAGATTTCTAGAAAATTGGCAAATGAAAATGCAAATTGTCACACTGATTAATGATGGCTACCGTTATGTAAACAATGGGAGTTGGTTCATCGTGATTCAGGTATCATTAAGAAACGTTGAGACACGTTACAGTCCCCCACCAGTCCGCAGAGACCTGATGCTTTTTCAATACACTTTGCACTTTTTCATCGCAGACAAGCGTAAGATCTTTTTGGCTTTGTGTGGATCATGTGCAGAGGGTACGGCCACTCAGCCCTGACACAGAAGATGTTTTATTTTACTGGCAGACAATGAAGAAATCCCCAACTGACTTCATGTGTTTCCTGTTTCGGTTCCATCTCCAGCCCGCTGTTCAACTGTGGCCGGGGTTTCTTTGTCTGCCAGTGAAATAAGAATTAAAAGGAACATCAGGAGGTGACGTATATGCTTGAGCTGTCTAGTGTGTGTACTCAAACTGCTGGCGGTGCAGTTGGATGTGCGGTGGGATATCTGCTGGACTGTGAGACATAACAGGAAGAGGGCACTCAAGAGTCAATGATTGAATGTTGAAGGGCCAGATGGAAAAGTCACTGCCTGCATAAACACATCAGACAGTATCTTAAATAAGGTGCCCTAAAGGGACAGAAAGCAAAAATGTGTTTCCTCCAGAAATCTTTTCTTTTTAAGATTGTTTTTGTGTGAGTTGCCAAGTGTTGGAGATATCGGCCGGAGGGAATATAATGGAACTAGATGCACGCTTCCTTCTGCATGGTGATATGGTAGGCAGGTTTAGTTTGGTAGAAAGAAAATAGTTCCTTCATGAAACTGCTCGCAACAAGGTCTGTGGACTATCTTGAGTAACCGGGTCATGATTTCTGGAAAGAGACGTTGCTGCTGAGTTTTGCAGATGTATTGTGATGGCGCTTTGAGCACCACAAGCAGATTGCCCTCTTGTTCCATTGTATTGGAGGGGTAGACATCTCTACGGCCAATATCTCCAACATTCGGCAGGTCCTACCAAAACAATCTAGATTGATTAATAGCACTCCAGGTAAGAGGAAAAATATGTTTTGGGGTTGAATTGTCCCTTTAAAGGTTGTAGTTTTCTTCTTTGTAGACGTAGAACAAAGGATGTAGTCAACTTAGATTCTTATTGATTACGGTAGTAGAGTTTGATATTTACAATATGATTAAATACTGTTATGGGTGCGTTTGAAGTTATGTTGAGTATAGAGGAAGTAAGTGTTTGATATGTCTGGGAGCCAATCAGTGAATAACAACAGAGATTCAGACAAACAAACAAGGCAATGAGTGAGCTGGTTTAGAGTGTTCCTGACCTATGGAAGAGGAGGAGGCGGCGTTCCGATGTGCGCGAACCAACCTTGTTGGAATCCATTGTAACTGGTCTGAATTTAAACTGACCACAGCCTGTCATGACCCAAAGGAACCAACTCCAAACATTTAAAGCCACATTGTAAGTCCACGAGGTTAAGAGTTTGATAATTAAAAGACACTCTATGCACTAATGTTTTAAAATGTTACCTTTCCTGAATTGTCCTGACCCAATAAACTCCGTCCATCTGGCTCTCCAAGCCGGTTACAAGAAGCACAAAGCCACATTTTCAAAAAATCCTATCTGACCCCGGTCTAATTCGAGCCTGTGTCTGTTCTGTTCTGTTCTTTTCCTCCAGACTGAAAAAGAGTCCGTTCCATTTTTTATGCAGACAGACTGCACCATCACGTCCCAGACGGGTCCCAAGGCCTTCAAAATCCCCTCGTCCATCCGCCAGAGGATCTGTGCCACCTTCGACACTGCCAACGCCAAGGGCAAGGACTGGCAACTCTTAGCCCAGAAACTCCACTTAGATCGGTGAGCGTGTGAAGTGCATCCTCTCTGAGATGGCATGGTCTCTGCATCTTTTCTCTCTGGAGTTGGCCTCGCCGCCAACGAGTATGATCATTTGTTGCGAGCGCTGTTAACCTCATGAATATGGCTCTACATGGAGATACCTTATGTACTCCATGTTGTGTGAGGAGACAGGACCGGTAATTTATTCTACAGCACATCGTGATTGTGTTCTCTGTTGAATGCTTACAGCATGTGCATTGTGGTTTTGTGCTGGGCCTCATAACACGATATCCTTCAAAGGAATAATGTATTTAATCAAATGCATCTTTAGCATTTCTGTCAAGGTCTGTCGAACACATATTGTTCATTACCTGTTTGTCTTTTTTTTTTATCAAATTAGATTATGCATTAATGATGAGAAGCTAATATTTACTCAATCCAGTGTTTGCTTGCTCTGATCCTGTGGCAACTATAATCTCCTCTTAAGTGCATGATTCATGAAACGCTGGTATCTAAGAGTCCTTCGGGATTCCAAATTATCCAGATAAGCCTTCCTCTCCAAGTTGGGCGGCTTTGAACTGAGCCTGATGTGACCAATGGCTGCAGCCTTTTATGTTGCTTCTTGTTTTTCCTCTTGCACGGCATCATGGAGCAGCAGTGAAACACTGCCCCCAGCTGGATCCAGCGCCACATGATACATGCAGACATTGCATCGGGCGTAGCAACGAGCTCTCTGTCTTTAATTTTGGCAGCACCTGATAATTAAATCCGAACCAGACTGTGTTTGCCAATAATTAGCCCTCATTTGTGATGCTAATTTATTCTCTATATTTTGATAGTCTTAAAAGGTCATACCTTTTGTTTTGTCTACATGTGGAACCAGATGGTTCTGTTTACTGCACCAAGACGATTTGTGTTAAATCCTATTTTAGTTACTGACAAATATAACAAGTGGATATTATTAAAGTCAGGTAATGTATTTATACAGTGTATTCATTATAATATGTTTTATTCATTTTATAGTATTATTTGAAATGTTAATCACTTCATCCTGCGCAAAGTAACATAGCACTAATGTGCAATTGTACCATTTACAGCATGTAATTGTAATTTGTGGTATTTCAAAATCAAAATCACATCTAAATCCCTCAAAGCTTCCACAGTTTATGGCAACATCTCTGAAGATAGACACAATGAGGTTGGGTTGGTGGATGGATGGACTTTAAAAATGATTGTGTTACAACAGCAGGTTATCAAAGCTGTACCTAAGAACAGTAAATACACAGTAAATATACATATCAACACTAGAGATATATATCTTTAGAATACAGGATATAAAGAATATATAAGAATACACTATAAATATACCAAACTATTACTAGCGTGTACTTGAACTAGCAAAACCAAGATGAATATCATGGTTCAGACAGAAATGATGAAGCTGAGAGTTCTTTGTCATCAGTCTGTTGGAGAAAGAGCTCCGCTGTCTGTCCAGCAGTGTGTGGAGAGGGTGGTCAGGATTATCCATAATGTATAACAGTGTGTTCAGTGTCCTCCTCTCCACCACAACTTCAAAGGAGTCTCCAGGCAATTACAGAGCCAGCCTTCTGAATCACTTTATTAAGTCCAAGGTAGATAGCATTTATAGATATCATTTGATACATCGTCTGTTTTAAAAAGGAACACATCAATGAGCCTCACTGTTTGACTGGTTGACATGTGCTTTCATTAGCAGACAATGACTAATCCCAGTGTCACACTATTAAAGTAACTTAACTTGATTGCTTTCCGTTTCTTCTGGATGAGCTCAATATTAAATATGCAACGAAAGACGACAGAAAAGAAACATGCTAAAAATGGTCACAGTACAGTACAGTGCGAGTTGTGCCTTCCAGCTGTGAAAATGCTGTCATCATCCAGGGACTCATCATTTGACACATTCGCAGATGTTAACTTGTAGCAGCACCCATATTAATTACAATCCTACGTTTAAATTGTAGGATTTAAATCCTATGTTTCAAACTTGTATTCTGTATTCTGGACCAGACATTGGAAGCTGTTTGCTCAATTCTTACGAACCGTCTTTCCACGCACGCTTTGAAAAAAATAATGTTGATGAGCTGCTCAAACCATCCCGCCTTTAAATAGCTTGCAATGTGTTGTGATGTTGTTCCACTTGTTTGCTTTGCATGCAAACTAACAAACTAACTGGGGGAATGCTTTCATTCACTGGGGAGATATTACCTTCAAACCTACAGTGGCCAGCTGTTTGAGGAAAGATTTGTTTAAAAAAGAACATTTTGATGTAAGGACCACAGTTTGAGAACTACTGGCCTTGTTTTCTGTGCATCAAAATCACCCTCAACAACACTTTTTCTCAAAATAAATTAGGACAGTTTAAATTATTTACAGAATCAGTTTGAATCTTGTCTTTCACAAGATAAGCCGATATCAAGCGTGTTCCCTGTGTTCTGTCCCTGAAGCGTGACCTCTTCCTGTGCGGTTCGTTAATCCAGCTTTGTGTGCTCCTCTACAGAAACCTGGGTTATTTTGCAAAGCAGCGGAGTCCGTCGGCAGTCATACTGAGCCTGTGGGAGGCTCGCCACCAGGACACCGCTGACCTTGACTCCCTAGCCAGCGCCCTCGAGGAGATCGGCAAGATCCACTCCAAAAGCTCCCCCAAGGACCAGGATGAGCCGGAGTCCGACTTCAATCACATAGAGGCGGGCGGCGTGTGCGGAACGGGCACACTAACAAATCAGACGACAGAGGACTCTGCTCCTGAATATACGGGCTGAGAGAAGAGAGAGAGAGAGTGAAAACTGACAAACTGAGGCATATATCTGCGAAGGCACACAGCCGGTGATGGACGACACACTGTGGCCGTGCGCTGGAAGGTCAAGAGGTTGTGAGTAGACGGCGCGAGCAGTCAACATGCTGACCGAATGCCAACGGATGGAGGTGAGGCGGTACCTGCTGTGGATCTGCCCCTCTCTTGTCTGAGGATGGACTGTAAATCTTGTTCTGCCTTGCCACTCCATATTAAGTTCATTTTTAATGTATTTGTTGTTTTTTTTAAGTCAAAGCTGTCCCTCCGTATATATATATATATATTCATTTTCCAGCTCAGAGGGTGAGTGGGGTATTTCCCAGCCTTTCGTGCACATTACAGTATTTTCTGAATTTGTGTTAGAAAAGAGGGGAGAAGCTTTCCTACCCCTGGGACCGTCCCCTACCACACGCAGCTGGACATATTTGCATAGAAGTTCTCAGATGCAAAATAAGGTGATACAACTGTGGCGTCATTTCAGAGACACCTGATCTAATCCCCCCCCCCCCACCACATCCCTGTGTCAACGAATGAATGAGGACTTAGAAGCTACTTTTTTGACGTCCAATATTATATTTTTCAAAGGAAGCTGCTGATTGCTTAAATGTTGTGATTGTGAACTTTCAAAGCCAAGAATTTTGAAATTATCCCATTTTCATCTCTTACAAAAGATTCAAAAAAATCTAGTCGATAGGAAGTTTACACTTCCGATCGACGACCAGTGTTGTGTGATCACTTCCACAAAAAGGAAAAAAAGTTAAAAAATACATGATGAGCCCCAGTCTAATCTAGACCCACTATGTGTTATAGGCTACGGATCAAAACATGGTTGTGGTTTAATGTGGCAGAGTGAGATTTCTAACCGTGGCATTACAGTTCATTACAGTTTCCTTCGCCAAGCGATAGAGAGGAAGGAAGCGGGAAAACATCATTTCCTGCAACAGCACAGAGCACATGCCGCGTCTTATCACACAAATGCCCCCATTAACACCCGTCACACAGACCTCATATCAGACCCTGACACACCCGGCTGCCTCCACCACCAACTCCCCAGCCCTCAACCCCCACCCCCAACACACAGGCAGACACGCACATTGACATTTCATGGCCACAGAGGTCATGTGCACACAGACTGGGAGGTTGCATATTGTACAACAAATAAACAAAAAAAGGAATACTGATGGTTACATATCTGTTTAAATCACAATAAACACACATCTTAGTGGGAGAATAATGAGGGGAAGAATGTTCTGAGCATGTGAAGCTCGAAATCTAAAAAGCAATAGGCCTACACATTTTGTGTCGGCCACTGAGGCACGTAGTACTGACTGACACTCCGAGTTGAATCATCATAAAGGACGATACCACAGAGGTAAACAAAATCGGTTACAGTTAAGAAAAACATTGAACTGTGAAACTTAAAGGGACAGTGTGTGGGATTTGGATAGCATGAAGACCTCTCCGCTTATTCCTTTTTTTCCAAGACTGCGGTAGCGTGAGCCCCCGAATGCAAATCCGTGGAAACGCCGTTCTCCTCGCTGGAAGGCCATCCATACCATAATAACACTACTTTAGGAGCAACGGAATAAGTGGCATGCGGTACCGCGTTTCTGCACTCTGCAGCGTGGAGGAGAACTACGTTGGCCTTCAGGTCATGTAAAAACAGAAAGGCTCTCTCTTGAGCACATGGCGGTGCAACACGGCGCACTCCGTGAAGAGAACCCGCTCCATATGTAGATGAAGAGCTCACGTTAAGCTAACGGAAACACGATTCTTAGTTTCAGAGTTTCACACGAACAAAATCATAGTTATGAATATTAAATTCCATTTCTGCTAATAGATTCCCCCGAAATGCAACACCCTAGCCCTTTAAATCATTCTCTGATTTTGTTATTGTGCCCAACTGAAGCCAGCTATTTGGGGGACACTGAGGTAAGAATTTGTTTAACAGAAAACCAGAAAATACAGATTATTCCCATTTGGAATGGAAACTTTTTACATGAAAAAAATTACATTCAGACACAACATCCAGCGGTCATGCTGCTGAGATGTTTACATATTGTATCTAAAATCACAATGGATCTCTGCCTTCACTCTGCTAGCGAGATGCATGCTGGGTAAATAAGGCCACCCACATTATGCAAGAACACATTCTCTCGCTTATAAAACACTGAATCCCACATCTGCACATGAAGTGTGTGCTTCTTACAGCCTCATTGGTGACCACAGCTCTCCGTATGTTCCTCTGGGATTCGGTCACACAACATCACACACGTTTTAGGGGGAAACTTACATTCATGAGTTTACATGTCGCTGCCCACAGTAATAACAGGTTTACCTGAGGTAAAACCACAGTGTAACACAGACTCCATTTGGCTGCTGCCTCTACTTACTATAGGCTAGCTAGACTTATGCTGTGTCTGAATTCGGATACTTCCGTTATTACACTTCCATGCGGTACACTGTGTACGCATGATGTACTTGCGTAGTGCGTGAATGTTGACAGGGTAGTGAGGTCTCAAATCAAACATGGCTGTTATGCACTGACCGGAAAGACATTCGCGAAATATGACCGCTTCTTCTTTTTCTTTTTAATAGCAAATTGCAATCGGAAGGAGCAGTACAGCCAACATTCGACCGTGATTGCTGCCCGCCAAAATATCTGCCAGCTTTGTTTGCTTACTTGACTTGAATTGTATTAAAACTGAATAAAAATGAACGTGATTTTAATTTGATGTGCTTGTGTGTGCCCCCCGTTTCTGAAAGGTAGCCATCATGGCAACCGTTGAGGTGTCCAGTGTTCCACACTCAACGTTTTAACCATTATGAGTGCACCATCCTGGTACTCAGAGTTCACTCTGTTTTGCCATACTTTGTCAAAACAACCATGCACTCAAAATAGCAAATGAAAGAGCACAAATTGAGACACAGAGTCATTCTATAATTTGCGGGTACATTTCACATCAACAAAAAAGTGTAAAAGTGCTTTCTCACAAAATGTTAAAATATTTCTTCAATCTAATAGTCTGCATCCACTAATGCAAAGCTTAACATTAACAACTTTTTAAATATTTGAACCTTAAGTTTCAACATTAATTTGAATTAAAATCTTAAAAGAATTGAAAACCATAACAATGTGTCCAACATAGTTAACGGCCAATCAACGTACACTTTTACAATGCCCTATTACGGATAAAATACTTTTAAAAATTTGAATTTATTAAAAATGGCTGCCATTGAGAGAAATGACCACACTTGGGGACCACACTGTTTTTCATCTGTTGTCCTTTGGCATGTATAAAATGCACATATAACAATATAAAAATGATAAATCCACATTAATAAATACACCTACAGAACCAACCTTAATAACAACATGAATGTGTCTTGAAGCCGTTTTCTAACGTTAGTATTAAACTGACTAAAGCTAATACACTCTGTTGTGCTTGTGAGGATCGCATTCCAGTGTTTTGTTGCTGTAATTAAGAAAGTACTTTGAGCACATGTTGTTGAACAATGTTTTATGTAACAGTAGTTGATCATTTGTTTTTCTTGTTTGACCATTAGCTGTTAGAATATATTGATTAAGGGGAAGGAGCTGAATCGTGCCGCATCTTATAGAGTCAACCATCGTTGGTCATAAACAAGAAATAAATAATCAAAGCTGCATATTAAGTATCTATTTTCTTCATTGCTGTCACTTGCTGTTTTGAATTAGAATGGACATCACCGTGTCATCTGTGAACATTTATATCTGGACATCAAAACGGACAATTGACAAATCATTAATGCTGAAAAACAGTGGTCCTAAGATGGACCCTTGAGGTACCTCAACAGTGCAGTAGGAAGGGGGGAAGTCAGTGATGACAAGAAGTCAAATGCTAGTAAATGGAAAGCCACCATTTTCTCCAGGACACTAGATAAGATGTTCTGTGGTTGACAGAACTTGTGTGGAGATTAATAAACTGAGATATTCATACAATTCAAAAGTTATACCTAATTTTAAAATAGACAAATAAATAGATAGTTCAAACTTTATTGGTTTTACATTTTTTATTTGAGGCCAAAACCCACTTAAATGAAAAGTGGGCATTGCAAAAACTGTCAATTTAGTAACCTAATGACAATTTCAAGCCCTTAATCTGAAAAATATTATATTTCTGAGGAAAATAGTTAAATAGTTCAATTTGTTGCATAAAAATATTATTATCCTCAATGGACATGAACTGTAACCCAAATTAGAGAATGACTCATAAATGTAACGCCAGCTACATGTTTTTCCACAATTGTGATTTTTTTTTTTCTCTCAAATGTACATTTTTTTCTCGTAAATTTAAGACTTTAATCTAAAAGTTTTTTTCTCTGCATATTACCGCCATGACTTTAAGCCCATTAGAGCACTTTTCATCGAGGGTATACTTTACCTTTTGCTGTAAACACCCAAAATGTTGGTTAGTTTTTTGGTCTGCTGAATACTTATTAAAACATATAAACAAAAATAAGCAAACCTTGACTATGACTATGACACAATGCCATTTTACTGACCTACTGTTTCACTATGACTCCTCCATAAGTAAAGATAAGAAAAAACATGCCACCCCAAGTTTGTTTGGTACAGCACTGACTCTTACAGCTTTATTCACTAATCTTGAAGGAGAGGGGTTTTTACGGCAAACATCAGTGAACCCTGTGGTTTGAGTATTGTGGCCTTTCTCACCAGTAACTAAATTCAGGAAATAAGCTTTACTAATCAAAGTACCTGGAACCATGTACAAACATACAGTATGAGTAATGTGCTACAAATGAAAGCTTATGCTTGGAGCTGTATTCTCCGGCTTGATTTTTATGAAGCACCCGGTTGAGTCAATCTTTAATCCACTCCATGGTCTATAGTGCCCCCAGATCCCCAAACATTGTCTACAATCTCAGTGCTGATACTCTCAAATGTATAGAGTCAAAAACAGTGAGCTAAAAGGAAAATGTGGGACAGTATGGTGTACTTTAACAAAATCAGAGACCAATTCCTCATCTTGAAATTGGTACCTCCAACCACAACTGAGTTACAGAATTAACCTGAATAAACATACGTTTGATCCCTGCAGTCAGCCAAACAAACTCAACTCACAACAGACTCGATTCTTTCTGTTCTAATTTATATTCTGTTGGCGTTTTTAAGGTGAGAGAGCTGTACTGTATGTATTTTGAATGTGTCCCTCAGCAGTTTTTATCAGGAGTGATATGGTGACTTTGAATACATCACTGAGTATATCTGACCTGACACATGTGCATGGCTTCATCCTGCCACGATAAAGAACTGCTTTTATTTCACTGCATTTCTGATCAAATTGCATTCATCTTTTAAATCATTTGAGCTGGTAAGGGAGGAATATGAAGGGTATTCATTTGTTTCTCTCCCCAATAGGATTCTTTCCTTAACTGTGACTAGATGGATTTTCCTTTTAATTCCTGCAAGCAAAGATGGATATTTGGGCTTTTGTAACGCTTAGCGGTGGCTTATGTTACACCGAGGGCATCCTGTCTGTGCAGCACACCCCATGCAGCCCGTTCTCTCTCCCAAGTCGTCAAATACAGCAGCTTGTTGATTAGCCTATGAGTCGAGCTGTGCCGCTCTATGTGGCCGTAGTTGTGGCGGGAGTAAGAGCGCGAAGAGGTTGGGTTGGACAGATGATACAGGACTTTCAACCAGGAGGCTGTTTCTGTATTGTGGGAAACTAAAAGACAATGGTACACTTACGTAACATTACGTAACTTTCGTCACCTATATAGTGTAGTCTACTTAATTAGGTAACAAATGTATTTATTTTCACCCAAAACATGATCTTTCCTAAACCTAACCAAGTAGTTTTGTTGCCTAAACCTAAAGGTTGTTTTCTGCAACGCAAAAAATTTTTTTGAAAAGCCTTTATGCATGAAATTAGGGATGCACAATCGATATTAGGCCCAATAAATTCTGGTCGGTACCGCTAAATTCCTCAAACAAGAGTCATGTATTATTCTGAGGATTGCATTATAGACGATACATTTTTGGCTGATAATATGAAGACAAACTGCTTTCATTGACTCAACATGCTACTCTCACTTTTACTGCATAGTAAACAACTGGTGATGAACTTATAAACTAAGATACAAAAATGTTCAATTCTTATGAATTCTTATTGGAATCGGCCATGAGAAGCATGTAATAACTGGGTATCGTTATCATCCAAAAAAACCATAACTCCCTTCATGTAACGACCGGAAACGAGGGCCACTGAGAGCGTCTTAGTTTGATGGTTAGGGCCACTGACCAAGAGTTGGTACTCGACGAGTTGGGAATGAGAACGTGCATCACAGTTAACAAGCACCTTCATTCTGGATGTGTTTCAGCTTTGTCCACTGTATTTCATAAACGTGTTGAAATCCAGCTTTTTGAAAGTGAGCTCATATACACACACAGACGAATGTATTCTCACTATGTATAATACTTTGGTGTGCGGCTAACCCTGTTTCATGAGATTAAAAGTTCACTGTCCATGACTTTCTGTCACCTGAGTTAGTCGGCCCCATGCTCTTGTTTTGCTTTACGCATGGCCTTCGGCTTCATATCACTATTCTTGTGCCTTGTTTAACTACTGTAAAATGGTGAATGTTGTAAAGTACAGATGCGGATGAAAAAACAAAAACAAATGAATCATACTGACATATATTTAAAGGTATTAGTTAAAAAAGTATTTAAGATTATAATATTGAATAGGCTGCAGAGCTTTTTTAGTGCTGAACATCTATGTTTGGTAATGCCAGGCAGCTTTGTGGTACATTGTATCTATAATTATAGAAATTTTGGATGTTTTCTGTACAGTAGAATTTGCAAATGTATATGCAGTCTTTTGGAAATAAATGTACAGTTGAAAGATCTCAGCTTGTCTAAACGTCACAAGTTCATTTCCAGTTTGGTGAGAGATTCTGGTTCGTTATGCTAGAAGCGGCTAATGTAGCCCTGTGGAGCAAGCTACAGAACTCTGCTAAGTTCACACCTTTCTAAACTCCACACCTCCAGATTTGTTTCATTTTCAAACTTCAGACTTCAGTCTTCAGACCCAACCAACACTGACTCACTTGAGGATATTCATCACACTCCCTCTGGAGCAAAGGTGTAGGTTTACATAGGAACACGTCCCTACCAAAATTTTGAGAGGACACAATTGTCCTTACCATTATCTGAGCAAACTCGTTTGCATTATCTTTGGAATAAAGTCACATTGGATCATTCTGATGTGCCCTTCCCGGAGGCTACGTCTCCAAGACGATGCTAGCATCTGATTGGCTAAAAGGGAGGGTGCTATCTAAAGACTCACATCACGTGAAAATACCATACCTACTGCCAGACACGGAGGACGCAAGAGCTGATCAGTCTGCTTCAGTTACTTTGTAACTTCTAAAAGGTTTGGACGGCAGTGTCGCTGTCTCCGCGTCCTTGCTTGCTTAGAATTTATTCTGTTTGGGACTGTCTCTCTACTCCAGGATGCTTCCCACTGAAAAGCTTGGGAAAGCGGCTGTGAGCTACTTTATCAAGATGGTGAAGTTACATTTGTGGGCGACTGTGGCTAAGTGGAGAGCAGGGCTGTCCTTCAATCAGAGGATCGGCGGTTTGATCCCTGGCTTCGGCTCCGCTAGTCGCATGTTGATGTGTCCTTGTGTAGCTGTGCCTACAGTGTATGAATGATAGAATCTGAATTGTAAGTTGCTTTGGATGAAAGTGTCTGCTAAATGACTCTAATGTATTGTCATTTGTGTAGATAATGGTGAGATGTATGCCTCACCTGAAGTGTTGTTTTCAATTACCACTTATTCTCGTACTTTACATGAATGAAGACATTTCCTCCATAAATTGATGCAGAAAAGGCTTTAAATCAGTGCTTTAAAAAAAGATCACCAGAATGCAGGAAATTAGGTGTTTAACCCTCAATACCTCCCCCCTCCTCCTCCTCCTCCTCCTCCACCCACACCCACAGTACTCCACAGCACCTGTAAACAGAGGTGTAAAATCAGCGGAGATCCGCTGTTATGTTGCCTTAGAAAATGAATGACACCACATTGAACTTAGTTAAAGGGAAAAAACGGTTTGCTCATACAGATTTCTGCACTAACTGAAGCCAGGGTTTTCACAGTGGTGGACACTGAAGCCTGAGTCATTTCTTAATGTTACAACAAACTAAATTATCTTGTACTCTGTGCAACCATTATATAAACCGTGACAGAATTCTGTAGCAAATGAAACTGTGGCTTGAAAGGAAAGGCTTGTGTTTGTGGCTTGTGGTTGGATCAAGGCCATCAAACACAATCATACGTACATATATATATATATGTATATATACATATATATATATATGTATATATATGTATATATGTATATACTGTATATACATATATATACATATATACACATATATATGTATATATATGTGTATATATATATGTGTGTATATATATGTGTATATATATATATAATTTATGTCACGGACAATCAATGGTGTATTATCTCGAAGGGCAAGACATTGAATTTGGGGTTCAATAGCTGTGTCTCAATTCAGGGTCTGCATCCTTCGGAGGCTGCATTCGTAGACCGGTTGCGTCACAGCGCTGCGACTAGTGCTGTCCCATTTCACATTTTTGTTGAAGAGTCCTTCAATGCAGCCGACGAATGCAGCCTTAAGACCCCAGATTTGGAGGACACATCTGATGTATCCTTCGCGGCCCACCATATCCCAAGATGCATTGCGTGCCGGTGCGCTATTACCGGCAGCTCGGCTGCCTGCATCCGACCGTAGTAAGCCTTGTAAAGTAACTTTTAATAACTTCACTTTCAAACCTCAGAGGTTGAATAATATCTTACTGAGTTTGTGATGATTTTACAGATGAATTATACTTTATATCTTCTACATAAACGGACCAAAGTGAGCTCAGGTAGACAGGTTGTGAACCTGACATATCACTTTAAATCTGGTAACGTTTCAAACATTGAGATTAACACGAATACACTGAATTTGAGTATTTTGCTGATTCTGTTCATGTTTTGTTACAGAGAGCCAGGAGCTGAGGGGAGAACGATGGACAAACATTCAGCAGCCGTAGCTTTGAATTAAGACATTAGTCCATTTGTAATATCTCCATTTGACCATCCTGTACTTAAGGTTACAGTTACATGAGCTCTCATCCTGTACAATAAGCCTTCACTAATAAGACAACCAGTAGATCCTTTTGATGTGTTAATGTTGCTGTCACAGAGATGACAGTTGTGATGTCACCTTTAAACTTATTTTAAAAATATAAAGTATATGCACATGTGTTTGCTGACATTTGTTTTGCTGCTGTTAATGTTAACTGTCTTGATTGATTTACTCTGCATTAGGATTGCAATATGTATGTGTGAATGAAATTAAATAAAGTTATTGATAAATTAATTTAATTACAAGAACTATAACTGATTGATAACGAGTTATTAGTAACTGATTTAATTAACTGATTATTAATATAGAAAAACAATATTATGAAAAAGATCCATGAATTAATTATTGAATATATGATAAAAAACTGATTAAAACACTAAACTAAAACCTTTCCAGTATATATACTGAATAGGTTTTAGTTTAATGTATTTATATGTATATATATTTATAATCCTGTTGAGCAGGGATTTTAGGGATGGGAGCAGCAAGAGGGGGGTGGGCGGGAACAGCTGTTGACGAAAACAGGAAGTCCTCTGTGGCGTAGGCTGTCTCATTTCATAGACCACACGGTCTAGCCTACACGGTCCTCAAAGGACACAGCCCACATAGACCGTGAAGGCTGGGTCCACCAAAGGATGCAGCCCCTGAATTGAGACACAGCTAATGTCTTGCCGAACAACACCTCGACTTCAACATGCGGACTTGTAAGAGTCAGGGATCGAACCACCAATCTCCCAATTAGAAGATGACCCGCTCTTCGTCTGAGCCACAGCAGCCACATTGTTTTGGTGGATTCGGAGGCACTGGATGCATTCTCTTGGAGTATTTGTGATCATCGTGATGCTACTCTGTCACCTAAAAGGTGGTCGAGCTCTATTCAGTGTACAGTGTAACTGTAATTGTGGGATGCTGCATCAGTCCTGACAAAAGCATTAGCACTACAAGCAAAGCAGTATGATTGGGAAACACCTTTACCTGTCTGTCTTCACACCACAAGACTAATTTTACATGTAAACCTTAATGTAATTTGGCTGATGCCTAATTCACTGATGTGCAGGCACTCTTTACCTTTTCATGAGGTTTGTACAGAACAATATCCCCTTGCACTGCATCAAAAAGGTCCCGTTAACCTACACCCCACAGCTTTCGTCTCAGTATACACAGAAGAGCCTGTAACGGACGGATAAATGATATTTTCCGTTTCGTTAGAATTGATCTTGACCTTGGTGCAACAGATGAGCAGAAAGCAGTACAGTCGGCCTGAATGCAAAATACATGTCTTATCTTGGAAAAAGTGTGCTCGGAGGTTTCAGCCTCCTCCCCGGCCTTATCATCGAAAACAGAAGTCGCAGCAGTGTGTGGGGGTAAACAGTGCAGGAATCCTTCCACGTGCGGTAGACTCTGTGAGTCTGAAGCTGAGCGATTGTGGAAATAAAAAAGGGAAAAGTGTAGTGTTTTTAGAACAAGATGTTGATGAACTGCGGTGCTCACGGAGTGACTGCAGCCTCTGTTTCTCAGTCTGCTTAGCGACCCATGAAAACCATCAGTCGCCCAACTGAGTCCATCAGGTCAATGGCTTTCGCTCGAAGTGCCTTCAAAAACTGTGACCCCATTTCAACTATACAGCTCCAAGTTAGCTTACCATCACAACTGAACAACTGAAACCGAGGGTTAAGCCCATATTCACACATCCCCGGTTCAGTTGAGCTTCCTGTTGGGCGGCATATCTGCGTTGCTGCAGACAACCGCTCATTAGATATTGTTAAACTGGCGCACACACACACACACACACACACACACACACACACAGGACAATGAGGTTTGTTAAAAACTGTGATGATGGCTAACTTCTTGTAGTTTGTGATGAGAGGCTTTGTGTGACTTTGTGTATGTCCATTATCCTGCTGCAGGGCCTCACAGCAGAGAGGAGCCACTTGTTCACTTTGTTCTACAGCAGCACAAGTGGATCAGTCCTGAAAGCACTTACATATCCAAGGTGACTTGCGATGTGTGTAGCAGCAGAAGAGGTTTTCGTTTACATGTGTTGCATTTGTAAATTGAACCGGGGTCAAACTTCATCAGGTGAAGAAGAGGCAGAACTGCTGCTTTGGATTAATTAGTCAAAAGCACAAAATATGACTCGGATGCTTTCCAGTGAAACTACTCGGGGTGATTTCAATCAAAGGTTCCGTTATCAATCCTGTGCAGGCGCGCGAGGGGGCCGGAGTATTACCCAGCATGCACTGAGCGATGGCAAGAAAAGCCTGGATATGCTAGGAGGGTAACACGGAGGCTACCGTGTGGACAGACAACCATTCACACACACACATTTAGACCCATTGATCTCATGCTGCCCTCCCATTCACAGTTTGTTCCATTTTTGTTCCATCAGAGATGGTCACAGAGTCATTTTTCCAAGTCCAAGTCACGTCTTTGAGCTAGAGTCCACGTCAAGTTCTTATGGTTGGAACGAAAGTTACATGCAAATTTAGTGAAGTATGTTCATTTTCTAACAGAAATGTGTTGACATAAAAACGATGTAAGTTTGAATTAACAGTCATCTAAACTTCACAGAGCAGAAGAAAAAAATACTGTTGGCCACATCCAAAAAGTGACTTTCACGCCTCAAAATCAGTGAACTCTTCTGTCGATACTGCTCCTTCTTCACGGTCAGAGACATGATCTGAGCACATGCAGAGCAAGTGTCATTGCTCTAACTTGTTTCTGATTGGAGGAATATCGGTCTCCCGTACTATGAACTTCTCAACATTGGGAACACACGCCCACATTTACGGAGAGGTCAGACACCACCGGATAGTGCCTCCGCCACAGACAACAGACTGAAGAGAAACATTTTGGTGCAGTTATCTACTGCGTGATCAACAACCAGCAGCTTAACTAGCCTAAGTAGCTTGCATTGGGAAAAGCCTGATCGCTGCAGTCATAGCCGGCATAAACAACATCATCATGTGACTGTATGGGCTATCATCCAAGGGAATAGTTGGATGATAGCCCATACAGTGACATGCGTCATTTACAATCGTCATGAGCAATGAGTCATATGTCAAGTCATCATTAACTTGCAGCTTGAGTGTTTTGAGCCAGGTGTTACGCAATGATAAAAACCTGTGATAAGGCTGTTTCAGTGGTGGCTCTATTTCCTTCATTGAGTATTTTCATTGTACGCTACTTAAACTTTACTCCACTACATTTATATCACACTTTTACTCTTCTGCATTTATCTGACAACTGTAGTGAGTAGTTTCTTTGATTTTACAAAGATAAAAAATATAATACAGTATCACAAATTAAAGGGCCTATTAACACAGGTACACTTACAGGATTATAAAATAGAAATTTGCTCCACTCCATTAAAATACTGAACATGCCAATATTAATAATAATCTACTATTATCATGAATATAATATGAGGTCAAAGTCTTGAATGAATATTTTATGAACTTTCACAAGGTAATAACGTGTGTGCAATACCATATTTTAGGATTCCGGTGGCTCTGTAATGCAATGCTCTTAGGGGCCTTTCTGCATAATGAATCCTTTTGATACTTTATTTTTCTGATTATACAACATACTCAAGTGGAATTGATGCAGGGGTTTTACTTTTTTTTACATTGTAATATTGCTACTTTTTAGATTTTGTTGATAAAACCTTTACTTAAGCTTTTGAATGCAGGGTTTTTACTTGTAAAGGGGTATCTTTATTTGTTGTTTTGGTAGTTTTACTTTAGTAAAGAATCTAAAAATACATCTTCCATTATTGGTTTGTGTTTTTATGTGTATATTGGTAATGGGGGAAATGGATACTTGTACTTTACTTGAGTTTAAAGTAGTTACAATTAGTCCCAAAAAGTTATGCTTACACATGAATACATTATGATCCAATCCAATTACAACTATAATTATAACCAGCCATACAAATGATGATAAACGAGTTGTAAATTAGAGGCACATATACAGATTTACAAATACAAATCGCTCTGTATGTATTTATGCTTTGTGTTTTACGAGACACAAGTCCTGTAACATTTTGTCACATTCCTCCTGCATTTGTGGATTTTGTGTGGAACAGCTGGGTAAACCTGCCTCAAAAGACTATATTTCCTTTAAAAAAGGCCAAGTTGGTGTAAAACAGTGGATAGTGCAAACGAACAAACAAGAGACATAAGTAGAAAAAAACATCAAAAAAGTATAATAAATAAGTAATCACACAGTAAATGCTTATAGTAAATAAGTTGAAAAAAACTAAAATATGATATAATCAAACTGAATGGTTGTTAATATTGCACAGAGGATTGCAAAGAGTATTTATATTGCACAGTTGATACATTCATTGTATACGGTAAAATTAAAGGCACAGATATAGATTTAGGTTTTCAGATACAAATCACTCTGCCTTTATTTCTGCTCTGTTTCATGAGTTAATGAGTTCTGTAGCTTGACATTTGTATGTGAAAACGTATGAGACTGTTTTAACACCATGCACTGTGCATAATGATGGGACGACCTTTTCTTTTTGTTAAGGATATTACCGTGTATTATAATACCACACCACATTTCGGTACTGTGGTTTTGCTGTACTTTTACTGAAGTAAATAACTGTGTACATAACTAGCTCCATGGCTGTGGGGCGGAGAGTTGCTGGGACGTTAGCTCCGCCCCACCCAGCCAATGACGTCACCGGTATTACCTCGAAGCCGTCACACCTGCGCTGCACTTTAGGACGGGAGCCCACGCGACATACGTCAAAACATTTAGCCAAATAAGTTTTTATTGGAACGAGTGAATGTACTGTGTCTGAGGATTAAGACATCTCTACGAAAGGATGACCAAGTTCCTACTCTTGGTAAGTGTCTTCCAAAAGTTTGCCTTTGCTCTGAGTCCCGCAACAACATTACAACATGTCCTGAGAGTGAAAAACAAGTCCTTAGAGGTTCATCAGAGTGATTATCCACCGAGCCATCCAAACTTTAATAATTATGCTAACTTTAAGCCGTTGTTTGTTGAGGAAGTAAGGTGTCCTCCCAGGAGCCGTTTAAAGGGGCTGTTTTCTGTTGTATTGGATGAATACCGAACGGTGTTTACCGAATTAAACACGTTCTGTGGAGTAAAATTGGGTATAGGGACATCCGGCTTGCTAGCTAGTGTCCTCGCGGAATGTCTCAGTTATCCGTCAAAAGTCGTCCGTCTGTCGGAGCCCAGGTGAGACATTCCTGGTGGGCTCCAGAAAGTAACTCATTCATTCATCCGGGTTCGTTTCTTCTTAAACACGACACATCTGCTCGAAAGTCACCATGGTGGACTGCTGGGGGATACAGCAATAATTAACATTTAATAATAAAAAAAACAAATAATTTGCCTGCCCGTGTTCCTGATGTGTTGCCCCCCAATCTCCGATTAAGACTGCGTGAATTTGAATTTCTCTTAAATATTTCCACGTGTCTATCTTCTAAATTCCGGGGCAAACTACGTTTTCTGAATTGTATAGTAATCCCTCTTCAATTCGGCGCTGTAGTAATCATCGAAATGGCTTTTTTTTGGCATGAGATGTTGGCTTGTATATCTGGATTGCTTGGGTATCACGCACATATCTCTCCGCATAGCCTACTGGAGGAGCGGAAAGCGGAAGTTCAAATCTCGTTTTGGGGATTATTCTCACGGCCGATTAACAGCATGTCTCCTCAAATTTCAAAATTGTCTTATAGTTGGAATTAGTTTATGTAGTTCTGCTTCGTTAAACAAGTTTGTTTGTTTGATTCTTTATTTATTGAATGATGTCTATCAAGTGATATTTA